AATATGTTTTCTTGATTTCCTGGCTGCTGGTGCCAAGAGTGTTGACTGTGGAGCCAAGCAAACTAAAGCTGTGAACAATCTCAATCTCTTCACCATCCGTCCTGATGCTGCCAATTGGTCCAGTGGTGAGGATCTTTGTCTTCTTGACATTAGGTTTTATAAAATCAGTCACCATTAAACCATGTTCATCATTATTACCCTGTCTTTCCAGATCCCGGCTGTATCTTTCACATTTCCTTTACCCCACACCTCCCTCCCAGTGTTTCTCTTTAGGAAAGATTATGAATTTTCTATTTCAGACTCAAAGGAAAATGATTCCACAGCTCATCCCACACTGATTTATCTTCACTAACATCCACACAGAACTCACACGACCCGGGATTAAGAGAAGCTGCAGATTTGGAGATGATATGAACTATTGTTGGAAGTAATGACACAGATGAGTGGATTCATTCTGAAGGTTAAAAAGAAGCAATTCAATGCGAAGATACACAGTGAGTTCAGGCAGGGGGCCTTAAGCACACAGCAGTCACTGCAGGGAGCTGGGTACCTTTTCAGGATTCTGGCCAGCAGCTGGCCACACCGCCATGCATCATCCCTTCATTAAGACCTGTAGAGTCATCTCAGCTTTCAGGTAAAACTAACCAAAACCAAGGCAAGCCCACTGCTGTCAATCCCGACCACAATCCTACAGGACAGAGCAGAAATGCCCCAGAAGTTTCATAAGGCTTTCGAGAAGCAGGCTGCCACATCTTTTCCCCATAGAGTGGTTGGTAAGTTGGAACTTCAGCTGACTTTTTAGCTAGTGGCCATGCAGTTGACTGCTATACCACCAGGCTCCAAAGCCCTGAAAATTCAGTCTGGGTTGGGATGTGTCCTGACTCTTTTTCTTTTTCTGTATGCAGAATAGATCATTTGGGAGGCTTTTGCTTTTTAAGGAGGAATGTGGCATCAGGTTGGCGGAAGGCTCATCAACAACCTGTGTTATGCATAATCTTGCTCGCCAAAACTGAGGAGGATCTGAAGCATTTGCTGAACAAGGCCAAGGACTATAGTTTGCAATGTGGATTGAAGCTCAATATCAAAAAGACAAAGATTCTCACCATTGGGCCAATTGGCAGCACCATGACAGATGGAGAAGAGACTGAGGTTTTTAATAGTTACAGCTTACTCCAGTTACAACTTACTCGATTCCACTGTCAACACTCTTGGCACCAGCAGTCAGCAAATCAAAAGATGAACTACACTGGGTAAATCTGCTGTCAGGGACCTGTCCAAAGTGCTAAAGAGTAATAATGACAGCCTAGGGACTAAGGTGCACCTGATCCAAGCCATGCTCTTTGCAATTACTTGCTATGCATCAGAGAGTGGGGCAATGACTAAACATGACAGAAGAAGAATTGATGCCTTTGAGTTGTGATACTGGAGATGAGTATTAAACATACACTGAACTGCCAAGAGAGCAAATAGGTCTGTATTGGGAACTGTGAAACCAAGGTTCTCCTTGGAGGCAAGGATTTTGAATATACTTTGGGAAGAGGGCCAGGAGGTACTGGTCCTTGGAGAAGGACATCATGCTTCGAAGGGTGGAAGGACAGTACAGGAAAAGAAGACCCTGGATGATGAGATGGACTGACACAGTAACTGGGGTAATGGAGGTAGGTGTATCAGAGTGAGATTAGCTCAAAACAGGGCAAGCTTCAGAGCTGCTATACACAGGAATTCACTATGAACTGCAGGGACCTTGATGGCCCATAACAACAACAAAAACAACAATCGTTTATTAGTTTCTATAATCAAATCCATGTAGATAAGACCCTATAGAAATGGGGGTACAATGAAGTTTAACATTTCTAGACCAATATGACTGTTAATTTCTCTGCAATGCCAACTCAACACAGTACAAGTATCCATTATTTATTATTATTATTATTTTCAATAGTCAGTTTCTGCTTGAAACAGAAGTTATTTACTTCTGTGGATTCTGACTTCCAACATAGACTTAATAGACATAGCACTTACTTATCTGTAGTAAATTCTCTAATAAAGATTGGTATTCTCATGGCATGTTCTGAGTCATTTAGGGCTTAAAATATGCCAAAATTATGCCAAAGGTTACAAAATTTACACTGTAAGTGAGGGTTAATAACATTGTGGGTGGATATCTTCAGAATTATATGCAAAACACACTGGTATGATATCCTTGAGAAACAATGACTCTGATATTTTTCCCCCCTATTCAAGAAGTTTAACTTGTAGCAGAACATAATCTGCTTCTAGGAGAGAATAAGGATGACAGAAGGGTAGAGAAGGTGAGCATACACAGAGGGCATCATTTGGAGGAGATAAAAGTCACAAACGGTAAAAGCACAAAGTCCAGGACCTTATCCACCTGCACAGAAACAGGATACATTTTCACCTTTTTTTCCTCTAGGTAATAGGGTAACTAGGCTTTTTTTATTTTTTTAAGGGCAAAATAGTGATAGATTTATCAGAAAGTTACATCCCCAAACGGATGGACCTCCCTCCCTGAAAGAAGATATGGAGGGGAGTCCCTGTGCTACTGAGGTGAGGCTCTATTTATAGCAGCCTGCTCTGGGTGGGCCTCAGGGCTGGAGTCAGGCCAATGCCACAGAAAGTTCAAAGGTGAGTGAGTACTTCTCATTCTGATCCCTGTTCTGATGGCATTCTGCACCCAAAGCCCCAATTCTTTGCATGTCAAAATTGGCTTCCAGGTTCTGATAGCTTAATTTTCCAAGCGTAAACTTTTGCCTCTTTTCTTGGCTCTAATCCTAACATTCCTCCCCGAAGAGATCAAGCCCCTAAAATCTTTTAGGGTTCGGGACAATGACCACTCTAGTTGCTTCCTGCTGGACTGGGCATTGTCTTGCCTACAGAGGCTATGAGTTCCTCCATGGCTCCGCTTCTGTGGGTCCCTAAACGCTGTGGTTGCTATGCCAAGTGGTGCAACAGGCACAGGGTTAGGAGGCAGGCTTGCGTAAGTTGGTATCCTTTTAGAACCATCTGCTTAATGCAGAACACTTAGAGCCAAGACTGTTTGATATTTATGAATCCTTTCTTTGATGAGAAGGCTGGTCAGCCAAGGTTTTAGATTCTCTTTGAATTTCAGCTTCAATTTTCAAATTGCTTGGCCCATCCAATCAGGAACTTGTTCCGACAGCTGGAAATAGATACTTGGGCTATGTGTCCAATTAGATGTCGGGGTCCATTTGATGATGGTAGAAAATTCGTCCTCTCAAATTATTCCAGGTTTTATTACCAAAAATGTTACTGTGAAGTCAATGTCCTACTTCACCTTTGTCACACAGGCAAAAGAACTGTGCCCCCCAGAAAAGACTAGAGAGTGGTCTTCACGTGACAAGGTAGTGCAGCACACAACAATTTCAGTGTTTTTGGGGAGAGCAGACTTTTGTACAGCACTCAAGTACAGGCCAAAGCGCTTTTCTTAGAGTGCAGAGATAAGAAGCAAGACGAGGAGGCAGAAATGAGGGTAAAACTGTCATGATCAGTGTCTAGGCTTTTATGCCCAGTCCCTTCAATCTATGAGGGGACATGTTTCTACAAGCACCACAGAAAACTTCTATTCCGAGATCAGACTACATCTAATAGTCACTTTGTGATCAGATGTCTAATCAAATCGTTTGCACAACAATTTAGAAATATTTTTATTCTTTTATTAACAAGAGACCAGAAGTAGGGAACTCCCAAGGCCCAAGTCCATCCATCTCAGGTAACAATATGACAGGCTTACCAATGCTCTCACTGCCACCTAGAGGTGAAGGGAGGACATGACTCAACCAACGAGAAACCTGGCTGAGACCTCTCTCGCTGTAAACAGGACACTCAAAAACCTTGAAGGTCAGTTATGGGTCATTCCAACTTAACGGCACATAACAACAAAGAGCATGAAAAGCAGGTAAGAAAGGATTCTAAAATAACAGTAATAGTTGTCAGAATACAATAACATATGTAAAGACAGCTATATTTAAAATAGTCTTCTTTTATCCATGCACTTTGCCCTCTTCAAAGTCCATTTTCTAAATACAGAAAGATGGCTTAGCTTGTCATGACAACTCACAGATGGAAACCATCCCCTAACCTCTATACTTTAAAATATAAGCCATAAAAAGTGCATAAAATAAACAAAAGTGCAAGCAATGTTACTGGTAAAAAAAAATACATTTGTTTGTGAGCAAAACAATACAACTATAGTAAGGCTATGTACTTATTTTAAACAACCTAATGGTTTTATGAAAACACTACCATCTGTAAAATCCTATGGATATGCGCAAACTTCAACGTATTGTAATTTCAACTTATTTCTCTAAGTCAGTCACAATACCTTAAAGAAAGTACCTCAAGACAAACAGAATAATACATATACTATAAAGTATATTATTTGCAGGCTTTAAAATTAAAAAAAATGGGAAAAAAAATGAAATAACCAGCAATGCTCTTAAACAGAATCCATCAAACTACATGGGACCTGAACTCTGGAATTAGATCCGTGATACCAAACCTCAGCTTCACCAATAACCAGTTGGCGATCTGAGAAAAGTGACAAAGTTTCTTTACCTCAGTTCCCACAACTACCAAATTGTTTTAACTAGAAGGATGTTTTCAGCATTAGGATAAACGTCTGACTCATCAAATATTAAAAAACACGAAAGTTTCTTTGTTGATCTACTTTGAAGAACACTGGTGAATTACCCTCTCCTAGTGTTCAGTCGCTTCCTGGAAATACCACGTGAGCAGGGATACCTGCTGAGAAACATGTGCATCTACATTTGTTTTTCTTTTTATCGTTGTGGAAACGTGAGTGAGACTGTAAAATAAAAAGACTGATCTCTATAAACTGAGGCCCATCTTGGGTCATCCCACGTTCTTGAATTGAATGGAAGAGAGAGATGGCCCAATCTCACTCAGTCCACTGTTAAATGGACTCGCTCTAACACTCCCTCCCCCACCAAGCCTCTTACCTAGCCAATCCTTCTTCGTAAAGATAGATGACGAGGGGATCATAAGAAGTCACTAGCACATAGAGCCGCACGTCAAACTTGAAATCTAAAAAAGTTTGGTTTCACAGAAAAAAACCAAGTGAATTTGCTTTCTGTTACAGGTTAAACAGGACACAAAACCAAAGAATTATGGCAAAAACAGAATAGCCCTCCGCTCTTCCATTAAATACACACTGCCCACACACCCTGAGTTCTAGCAATAAATAATTACATATTTTACAGAGGCGATATACACAGAGAAAATATAAATAAATAAAAATAATGTGATTTTCATATATGGTTATTAGTATTTAGCTTATAAAGCACTTTTGTTATGTCAATTCATCTTCAAAATAATCTTCAAAGGCAGGTAAGGAGCCAGTCTACCTCTGGAGCCATAGCTGCCAGAAATTTTGGCCCTAGCTTAATAGACACTTATTAGAGAAGTCTAAGAAGATGTGAAAAGTTATACCAAGATCTAGGCCAGAGCAGTAAGGGTCAAATCAAAACTCACCATCTATCAGCAGAGGGTTGTTAATATAACGGGAGACCAGGATGTTCTCTTCCAGGGAAATCTGGTTTGGCTAGTGAATACAGAAAAAGGAAAAAAAAGGTAGATGTGCAAACTAATTCTACCTTACAATAGCAGAGCATAATTCTTTAACTTTTAAGAAAAGATACTATGAGACACTATGAACGCTACAAAAATGTTTATTCCAAGTGACCTACACAAGTGGCCATATAACATACCATTCTTCATAACCACTGGGTATCCAACTAAAATGTAGAAAAATTAAGTTTACAGAGCACCTCTTAACTACAGCCTACATAAGTTTAAAGACTTAAATACCTATTAAAAGTAAGTGTAAAGAAAATTAGAGCAATTTTTAAAATGTGCTTTCTGCAACAATGAATGATTGGAAACCCTAAGTCTCTGTAAACTTTCATTAAAATTAATAAAAATTTTTTTAAATGTGCTTTCTTCAAAATGTAGAAAGGCAAAAATCTTATTATTGTGACGTCAAATCTGACTCTGACTCCCCACTGGGTTTCCAAGCCTGTAAATCTTCTGGCAGGAGATTGCCGATATTTCTCCCACGGAGCAGATGGTGGATTCAAACTGCCCAAGCAGAGATGCCTTGGGGTCAGCAGCACAGCTCCCTAGAGACTAGGCCACCAGAGCTCCACTTAACATGTAAAATGCAGCATGCTCCAAGGTCTATGGCTGCTTGTGGCCACTGGATCATCAACTGCATACAAAAGCTCCCTGGAGAGACTGACAGTTCAGGTCTGCATATGACCTGCAACTGCCATTCAACTTTCCTATAAACATTCTCAGGACTTGGGCTGGATACTTTTACCTGAGTCCAGGTGTTTACATTAACCTTCATGTGAATAAGGCTACTGTGATACAGAGCTTTCACCATTTTTTTACTTGAATGTAAAAAACAAACAAACAAAAAAACCCCACCCAAATAATTTTTAAAAATCATGTAAAATGACAAAAATTCAAATATATCACTATTATTCTTTTGTGCGTGTGTGTATTCTTTCTTTTTTTAAATTGATATTTTAATGAAAGAGTATAGAGAACTTAGATTTCCATTAATTCATTGTTGCACATTTTCCTCCCTGCCCACTCTCCCCCTCACCTGTTGGCTTTTCTCTTTGAGAAGAAAAAAAAATTCATTGTTATACAATCCCCCTACCAGTCCACTTTACTATGCAGCTCTTATTCTGGAATCTTGCTGTGCAAATAATACCTAATCATATAACCTTTTTAAACAGTTCTCTCCCTCATCTGTTTCAATCCAGTGTACATTATTTATACCCTCTTTTCTTAGTTTCCCCCCAAACCCAATGTCAGTCCTATTTTGCAACAGTGGCATTATGCAGTATTTGTCCTTTTGTGACTGAGATATTTCACTTAACATAATGTCCTCCAGTGTCATCCATTTTGTATAATATTTCATGGGTTCCTTGTTTTTCAATACAGCACAGTATTCTATTGTGTGAATAGACTAGGTTCTCTATCCATTCATTTGTTGACAGGCACTTGAGTGGTTTCCAACTCTTTGTTATTGTTAACAAAGCAACAATAAACAAAGGTGTGCATATATCTGCTTGGGTGGCAGTTCTGGGTTTTTTAGGATATCTTCCCAATAGTGGAATTGCTGAGTCAAATGGTATTTCTATTTCCAACTTTTTGAGAAAGCACTACACTGCCTTCCACAGTGGTTGCACCATTTTACACTTCCACCAACAGTGAATAAGGATTCCAGTTTCTCCACAACCTTGCCTTTATTTGTTGCTTGCTGTTCTGTTAAATTTTGCTATTCTTACTGGAGTGAGATGATATCTCGTAGTTGTTTTGATTTGCATCTCTCTTAGAGCTAGGGATTTTGAACATTTCTTCATGTGTTTGTTCGCCATCTGAATGTCTTCTTTAATGAAGTGTCTGTTCATATCCTGTGCCTGTTTTGCAACTGGGATTTTTACCTTTATCTTGTTGTGGTACTGCTATTCTTAAATGAAAGCCCTCATAATGCTGCTTAGAAAACATTACAGATCTTTCCCCATGGATGCTAGCTTGCACTTCCCCTATGATGCAGAATGGGTGTTTCACTGATTTCATTCAAAGGTGCTTGCTAATCAAATATGTGTAAAGACTGAACTAGATCTTTTAAAGATCCTTTTCGAAAAAAAAACCACACCACAACAAGATAAAGGTAAATAATCCAATAGAAAAATGGTCACAGGATATGAACAGGCACTTCACCGAAGACGACATTCAGATGGCTAACAAACACATGAAGAAATGCTCAAAATCCCTAGCCCTAAGAGAGATGCAAATTAAAACAACTATGAGATATCATTTCACCCCAGTCAAAATAGCAAAATTTAACAGAACAGCAAGCAACAAATGCTGGCGAGGTTGTGGAGAAACTGGAACCCTGATTCACTGTTGGTGGGAGTGTAAAATGGTGCAACCCCTGTGGAAAGCAGTATGGCGCTTTCTCAAAAAGTTGCAAATAGAGATACCATTTGACCCAGCAATTCCACTACTGGGAATATACCCTGAAGAGACCATAACTGACACCCAAGCAGATATATGCACACCCATGTTTATTGCAGCTTTGTTCACAATAGCAAGAAGTTGGAAACAACCTAAGTGCCCATCAACAAACGAATGGCTAGAGAAGCTGTGGTATATTCGCACAATGGAATACTATGCTGCATTAAAAAACAAGGAACTCATGCAATATTATTCAAAATGGTTGACTCTGGAGAACATTATGCTGAGTGAAATATCCCAGTCACAAAAGGACAAATATTACATGATGCCACTGTTGTAGAATGGGACTGTCCTTGGGGTTGGGGAGAGACTGAGTAAGATGGGTTCAATAATGTATACTGCACTGAAACAGAGGAGGGAGAGAACTGTTTAAAAGAGATATATAACTGGGTATTTCTGTCATCACAGGAGACTAGAGCGAGGGCTACATGATGGAGGGGACCTGAGGGAGGGTTTGTAAAACAATGAAAGAATCTTTTCTTTTACTTTTCCATAATTTTTGGACTCATGTACTTATAACTTGTTAGTCAAATTTGTGTCTTCTAGGTTGCAACACCCCCATGATACATCTTCAAGGATATGAACATATACGGCCAAGCACAATCAATAAGAGTGCATCTAAATTCCAAAATCAATCTCCATAATAGTCTATGTGTTTCCTACTGCCAAAGGGGCCCTTTAGAGTAGTGAGAGAAGATCTTCACCCTGAAACCCACAGCGTCCCTTTTCAGCAGGAAGTAGCTAAGAGAATACGCCATCCCCTTTTCCTTATGACTCAGGGTGAAGTCTCTCTCAGGGAGGAGTGATAGGGAATGGCAAAGGACACACTGACAAAGAAGATTAATCAGAACTGGCTTTGACAAGCACTGTGGCATTTGGACAAGAACAAACTGGGAGGAGGGTAGAGAGAATAGTGCAACAATGAATGAGTGGAAGCCCAAAATCTCTGTAAATGTTTATGAAAATTAATAAAATATAATTATAGGGGGGAAAAAAGGAAAAAAAAACAAACACAAAAACACCTCATTTATACAAAACAAAATTCCAAGTACAAAGCACTCAGGATACAGAAATGAAGGGGGAAATTGGAATAAAGTTCCTACCCCCTCAGAGTTTAAAATCTAGTAGCTCCAAAGAACAAAAGGACAAAAAGCAGCAAGATGTCAGATAAAAAGCTGAAAGCAGAGCCTCAGGAAAGGCTGGGTCCAGAAGGACTGGGACCTGCTATGGTGGGGAAAGTGGCATGCATGGAGTTCAGCAGAGAGAGAGGAGACGTGATCACTGATCTGAGGGTAGAAAACAGAAGTAAGAAAGGTAAAGTTAGACACCCAGGGAGGAGGGACCTCACTGGCAAGGGGACACACATCCCTGCCACAGGAAATGGGGATTATCATGGTAGGAAGCAAGAAGCTATTGTGGAGTCATGAGTAAGTAAGTTAAAGTACCTGAAATAGAACTTTATGCGATTAGACTAACACAGAGAAACTGGCTGCAAGTCCTCACAATCTATCATGGCCAAAAGGACTCCAAAAAGGAGATGACGATGGCACTAAATGCGGTAACAGTATACAGTAGCAGCGACAGAAATAGTGAACGTGTACAGACCAATAAATGAACCGAGCTTTTACTGTGTGCCAGGCATCATTTTAAGTGCTTCATAAGAAGTGGACTTAATCTTCAGACAATGAGGCAGGCCTATCACCTGCCATGCTTTACAGATAAGAGAGAATCAGAGAGGTTTGGAAGCTTCAATGAACACAGTCAGGGACACAGCGAGATGCAGACTGGGCAGCTGTCTCAGAGATTTAACTGGAAAAGCACCAGTCACAACTCCCAGCTCCCACCAGGATTTGACCTAAAACACTTCTGTTTTCCGAGTCTGGCATTGTAATAAGACATCTGCAACCTCAAATACTATAGATGTTGTTTAGAAAAATAAAGACTACTTCTTAATTCATAACTCGATACACAACCATGATGAGAACCCCTGGAGTGGGACAGTGTCATTCCTGCTCATCTCCCAGCGGGGTTCACTCCCACAGTCAGAGCACAGAACTCCCAGAGTGGGACAGTAGCATTCCCTCTCATTTCCCATGGGATTCACTCCCACAGTCAGAGCACAGAATTCTCCAGAGTGGGACAGTGGCATTCCCTCTCATTTCCCATGGGGTTCACTCCCACAGTCAGAGCACAGAATTCTCCAGAGTGGGACAGTGGCATTCCCTCTCATTTCTCATGGGGTTCTCTCCCACAGCCAGAGCACGGAATCCCCGGAGCAGGACAGTGGCATTCCCTCTCATTTCCCATGGGGTTCAGTCCCACAGTCAGAGCACAGAATTCTCCAGAGCGGGACAGTGGCATTCCCTCTCATCTCCCGTGGGGTTCTCTCCCACAGTCAGAGCACGGAATCCCCTAGAGAGGGACAGTGGCATTCCCTCTTATTTCCTGTGGGGTTCACTCCTGCAGCCGGAACACAAGAATCCCCAGAGTGGGACAGTGGCATTCCCT